CTGAAAAACAAAAATCTCAAAAATGTCATTGCCTCAATACTGAATTTCACAGCAGTAGTCCATGTTTTAAAATGGTTTGATTTTTTTTTAATTAGGATTTATATCATTCCCGACAAAAACAAGCATTCTGAGAGTATTGCATGGCAATAGTACATAGTCCCCTACCGGTTAAAAATTCAATGTACTGGAACAAAATGCTAACTTGTTCTATAACTTGTCATGGTGTAAACTATACAACAAATATCAAGTCAATATCTTCATGCATTACGAAAAAAAGTGAGGAAAACTGATTGAGTGAATTTTCTAAGTCCAAGGACCATAACTCTGTACAAAATCATCAGACGGGAACAAAAATAGAACTTGATCTGTAACTTGTCATGATAAAACTTTATACCAATTATCAAATCAATATCTTCAAGCATGACGAAAAAAGTGCGGAAAACTCCAGGCTCTGCACAAAATCATCAGACGGGAACAAAATTCGAACTTGATCTGTAACTTGTCATTATAAAACTATATACCAATTATCAAATCAATATCTTCAAGCATGACGAAAAAAAGTGCGGAAAACTGATTATTTGAGTGAATTTTCTAAGTCCAAGGACCATAACTCTGCACAAAATCATCAGACCGGAACAAAATTCTTGATCTGTAACTTGTCCTGATAAAACAATACACCAAATATCAAACCAATATCTGCAAGCACGAAGAAAAAACTGTGGAAAACGGATTGCCGGACTGGCGGATGGACAGACAGATTGACAGACAGACAGACGGACGAAGTGCAAACCTTAAGTCCCCTTCGACTTCGTGAAATACTTTTCCAGTTTTAAAATTATACAAGGTTCCTACAGGGGATTTCTTCATAGAGGGAACGGACTTTGTATACTCTTTTCAAATTAGACCATTAAAATGATGTCGCCGACCCTTTGGAAAAGTTTTGAGTTATTTTCATGTCATCTTTCCTCTGTTTTCAAGAAAACAGTTGTCATTTCTTAGAACAATGAATTTGAAGCCATAGAACAAGTTTGCTGTAAATTTTGAATAATAATTCTGGAATGTTTGTAGTTGGCTGTAAACGTTTACAGGTAGTATATTTGGTTTTCATTTGTTTTTTGGCCTTCTTCACACAGACACTTAGTTGTCATATTTTAAAGGTGTATAGGTTAGGAATTTTTTTACAAACACCTGTGCTTATTCACATAAAAAATAGGTCAATAAATAAAATCATTTTTTTGCCATCTGCCATTACCAGTAGCCAATGGATCAATTTACTTTTAGCACATTGAGATTTTTTAATTTAATAAGGTTTTTTTTTAATAGGCAAATTGGTGTATCTTTTAGACAAAAGAAATATCTAGAGATAGGAAATTGCCTGGTTCTAAGAATAATTGAACACAATATGACAGCTATGGTGGACAAGTAACAACAAAACCTCAGACTGAAGATGAGCTAGAACGTGCTGCCATTAATATTTTCCCTAAATAAAATTTGTGTAGGTGTTAATAAAAAATATCAGCAGTTTATATATCACTAATTCTCTGCATATTGGGACCATTCGCCAAAATTATACTTGGAAAATAAATGTGTGTAAACAAACTTTTAATTATGCGCAAATGATACATATATATATATGATTTGAGGGATTCCAAACCGTTTGATCTTGGCTCTTACTGTAAAAATGAAAGAACCTTAGTGAGAGCGCTCACATACCCCACGTCCCCACATTGTCATTGGAGAAATAAAATAAGTGTAAGAAAAAAAAATTGTATCAGAAAAAAAAATTGAATCATAATTTCCTATCAATATGCACATCTACATAGTATGTCCTTATTATCTACACAGTTTCATGAAATTCTGTTGTGTGGTTTGAGAGGAGTTGCGATGACAAAAGGTTGCAGTAGTATATTGGGCAAATAAGTTCAAAGGGGCGTAACTCCTGGAAAAAAAATTGAATCGTAATTTCCTGTCGATATGAACATCTACGTAGTATGTCCTTATTATCTGAAAAGGTTTCATGAAATTCTGTTGTGTGGTTTGAGAGGAGTTGCGATGACAAAAGGTTGCAGTAGTATATTGGGCAAATAAGTTCAAAGGGGCGTAACTCCTGGAAAAAAAATTGAATTGCAATTTCCTGTCGTTATGCACAACTACATAGTATGTCCTTATTATCTAAAAAGGTTTCGTGAAATTCTGTTGTGTGGTTTGAGAGGAGTTGCGATGACAAGAAACAGGACTGACGGACGGGTCAAAAACATTATACCCTCCGCAACTCGCAAAACTATTCTAGAGGTACCTAAGATTCTATCAATAGTCATAAATCTTGATGAAAGACCATGAAAAGTTTATAATTTGTTCTTGAATCCATATCTTTATCAAATACAACTGTGACGACTAAAAAACATAACAATTAGTTGTTCTTAATAAAAAATGAATCAAGATATAATCCAAATATGTTAAAATATCAATTATCAGCAACTGCTCTTGTTAATTTCATATATTTTTTCAACTGTTTATATATCTTATCTTATTTTCAACTTGGAAACGAACAGATCACATATCTGTTGAGAAAACAACTTTGATATTGAAAACTCTGTTATATTGTTTCTGGAACTATTAATTATAAATAAACTTTATATATATAATATTTGAAAAAAGAAGTAAGCGTAACGCTTATTACTTTAACGAATCCAATACAATATAAGATGTAACATATCTGTTCAATGCATGCAACAAATACGTTACCATAGGAAACAAATACGTTACTCAATGTTTGCAACCTGAATTACAATACTTTAACATTATTTTTATCCTGTTGGTACCAAAGCTCATAACTTGTTGTATTAATGATATAATTCATTTAACATCAAACAAAACAAAAAAAAGCTTCGCCTAGCGCAGCTGGATACGACCGCACAGGTCCAACCCTAAACAGTTGGGGCAAATATGGACACAATATTCAAGCTTGATACAGGTCTGAATTTGGATTGTAATTAAATATTTGACACATTATAGGTTTCTGACACAGAATAAATGCAGTCAAAGAACTTGAAATTGGTTATATGATTTGAATTTATATTCAATTGAAGATTTCTTGCTGTTGTGCAATACACTGTGCTGTTGTGCAATACTTAGTAAATCTGTTTTCAGACTATATACAAAGAATTAGCAAAATAAATTGTGACCCCCAATTTTTTTTTTTGAAAATTGATAATTTCTTAAATCTTGAGGAACAAAAATTGACCCCCCAAAAAAATTTTTTTTCTTACCCCCTCCCCCCCTCTTTTCCAACAAAATAAAATTTGAAATTGTCTTTTTGTAAAATGTGGTACAATTTAAGAGACATCCATACACTTAAACACAAGTTATTGTCTGAAAACTAGAAAATTGCTTGTTTTGGCCCCTAATTCGTGAACGGTTTGGGCAATAAACTATTTTCATATTACCGACTTTTGACTCCAGATTATATAATTTATCGACTGGTTACCTTCGACATCATGGTACTCGGTCAAGTAAGAGCAACCAAAATGAGTAAAATCAATCATATAATCGGTGTAATTTGAGGGGAAAGTTTATTGTTTTCCGATGATTTTGTAGTGAAAAAAAAATGTAAAGCAGGTAATTTTCCCCCAAAATTGTACCGATTGAACGCTTGGTTTAACTTCTTTAGCTTGCTCTTACCTGACTTGGTACCATGATGTCCAAGGTAACCAGTCGACAAATTATATAATCCGGAGTCAAAAGTCGATAATATGAACATAGTCTATTACCCCCAAAATGAATCCAAACCTTCTACTTGTGGTATTGAACCTTGTGGTATAATTTCAGACCAATCAAAATACTTATACACAAGTTATTGTCTTGAAACTAGAAAATGCTTGTTTTGGGCCCCTTTTTGGCCCCTAATTCCTAAAAGGTTGGGACCATCACCCCCAAAAACAATCCCAACCTTCCTTTTGTGGTATTGAACCTTTTGATTAAATTTTATAGAGATCCATACACTTAAACTAAAGTTATCGTCCGGAAACCAAATGCCAGACGCCGACGACGTGATAGCATTATAAGAACGCAAAATTTTTGCGGTCATATAAAAAATATTAAAGCAGATAGCTCATATGTCTGAATTCAAAATTAGTACCGGTATTTCATCGTTAATCAAAACATGGTAACGTAACTTTTGGTACCGTATCTGTTAAACAAAATATTCTTTGTCTTTTATTTCAAGTATTTTTCTAATAACAGGACATTTTCTGCTGTTGAAAAGGAAGATCAAATATGTAAAAACATATGTATGCAGTTAAATGGATCCCATGCAAGTGGTTAATTTTTATGCAAACGATTCCATAGTAACGTATCTGTTAAAAATTAACGTAAAAATCCATTTCCTAGTTTAGTACCTTATCAATTTTCTTATCGTTATAAATACACATAAAATAACTTTGTTTTGGTTACAACTATGGACCAACACTTCAAAAGCAACATAACTATTCTTTCAAGATAAATGTAGAGTCTAATTAAAAGTTGGTAACGTATCTGGTCACAAAAATAGTGACATATAATCTCAATACTCTTTTCTTTTTTTTTTTTATGACAAACTACTTAAAATGACATAAATATGTACAGGCTGAATGGTGATGGATCGGAAAAGGCAACATTAGTACATATTTTGCAAGCTTTTTAAGTAGAACACTCAACAGAAAAAATATCTTTACCATCAGGGACATTCGTTTTTCTCAAAATAATACGTTTTTGTGTAAGGCTGGAGTAATTTTGATATTCTTCTACATAGCAATTATGTTTGTTTCGGTTAGAAATCTCCCTGGAGTTTCAAAAACATATGTTTTTAAGTCATTTTAAAGCAGATAAGGCTTAAAATATTTACAGGGACAATGAATCAAGTTTTGGACCTGATTTCCTGAGAATGAGTGGTATGTCCTTTTTCAAGTATATTAATTTTAGGACTAAATAAAAAGACTGTTTGAGATAAAATGTACTAGTAATACCAGAAAAAGTTTTATTCCTACAAAAAATATCACAGACAACATAGTCAATGTTAACAATAAGTCAAGTATATTATTTAACAATATAAATATTGTCAATACTGTATTGTTTAATAAAGATATAACACAAGAACGTGTGGTGTGTCCATCCCACACTGAGTGTCTTGAGTCCACATTTACTCCTGGTTGAAACATTACACAAGCCTCACAAGGAAACTTTCGAATTTAACATTCTGCTGTGACAATCTAAACATCACAAGCATGTTCATCAATGCTGTTGAAATAATAGTTTTTTTGGCATATAAAAATGTCCTCTGGTTAAATATGTTCTGCTAAGTTGTACTTCATCATGAACTCAAAGTCTTTATAACTAACACGGCCATCACCATCTCTATCCAGCTCTCTGTTAATAATAAAACATGAATATTACACTGCAGTATTACTCAAAATTCTCTGCCATGCAAAAATTTGATTATGATATATATATGATTTATATCAAATTTAGTTTTTTTTTTATATTATATAAGTTCTTTTTTTTCAGCAGACTATCCTACTCAGGTCTATTTTTATTCTGATATAATTCTGCCAATTTATGAACAGAGGATTAAATCCAGACTCCTCAAAAATGAACTTTGTTATTGGCTTTGAACTGGGTTTCAGTATCTTTGAGGAGTTTCAGATTAATACTTTTTGTTAGTTGTTTGATGACTTTTTGTTAGTTGTTTGATGATTCAAGCCTTTTTCAACTGATTTTTACAGTTTGTTCTTATGTTGCGATGTTACATCACTGTCCCAGGTTAGGTTCTTATGTTGTGATGTTACATCACTGTCCCAGGTTAGGTTCTTATGTTGTGATGTTACATCACTGTCCCAGGTTAGGTTCTTATGTTGTGATGTTACATCACTGTCCCAGGTTAGGTTCTTATGTTGTGATGTTACATAACTGTCCCAGGTTAGGTTCTTATGTTGTGATGTTACATCACTGTCCCAGGTTAGGTTCTTATGTTGTGATGTTACATAACTGTCCCAGGTAAGGGGCTGGTTGAGAGCTCACAAACATGTTTAAATCTCTCACATTTTGAATGTGCCTGTCCTAATTCACGAGCTTGTTATTTAGAGGTTGTCCTTTGTTGTTGTATATCATATTTCCTTTCATTTATTGTTTTGTACATAAGTTGGTTTTCTACTTTGAATTGTTTTACATTTTGTCATGTCGAGGCCTTTTAGAAATTGCTATGTGGTATGGGTTTTGCTCATTATTGAAGGCCTCAAATCAACCTATAATTGTTTACATCTACGTCAATTGGTCTCTGGTGGAAAGTTGTCTCATTGGCAATCATTCCACATCTTCTTGTTTTTATATTATTATTTATCAATTATCTATTACCCATATCTGTACATAAACATACATGATACCTGTGTTTATGATTATATACCAGGGAGGGGGGTATTAGATATCCCAATCCTCATTTTTTTGCATACATTTTTACATTATACTTACAATGTAGTTACAATTCTTTTGATAGAAATTATTATTATGGACTATATGGCAATAAATATTTAAAACGCATACAATTTCAAAATTTTTTGTAAATAGAATAATGAATTTGTTTGAGTTCTATAAATCTTCAAAACGAAATCAATAAAAATGAGATTTTAATATTTTATTGTTTATTTTGCAGTGCATCTTTATCTATGAAGTATACAAACTCTTAAAATTTCAGAATTTTCTCTCAAGTCTTTTAAAAATTTGACCATCAGGTCTTGTGTTTAAAATTTATTGAAAATGTAAATAAAATGTATTAAAGTGATTGATTTGAACGTGACAACAACTGGTCAGGTATTCTACACAAAATTCCTATGCTATTTTTTGTATCCATGTATCATATTTACCGATACTATAAAGATCTCTATCAATAATTGACAAAAAAATTATCAAAAATGTTAGTTCATTTAACACCAAGAAAAACAATGCAGTGCACACGTAGGAAATTTGGATTTCTAACAATTTTTTAATGATTTATCGAGTTCCAAGACACTTTACCTGAATGATAATTCAACAGCATGCATTGGTAGATGAGGAGCTACATGTCCTACTGCTTTCTTAAAGTCTTCTACTGTCAAAAATCCTCTACCTAAACATACACATATATATCGAATAACTTGCTCCTTCTCCAATGCCTTACTATAGGCAAAATTATTATTTACTGCCTATAATACAAGAAAGTTTTATCGGAGTTACCTCCCATGAAAGAATGCTCTGCAATCTGATAATCTAAGCTATTAGTTTTCCTTTATGATTCACTTAAACAGAGAAAAGATTTTTTTTCCTTTCTACATTCCAGTAGAAACTGAGATGCATACAGATGGGAGTATAATATGTCTTTTTATCAAAATTGCATGGAAAATTCAACAAGATATCTTTTCTGTTTCCCTTAATGCATGCATTTTAATAAGAAAGTAATCTATTTTAGCCAACGTTTTTTTACACTAAATATTAATAAATGTCTAATTGCTTAAGAAATCGTAACATATAGCAACCTAATTAAAAGTCTATTTTCATTATCTGCATTACTCAGAATTCTATTTTTCTAAAAATGTAATTTGTATCCAGTAAAAGATAAGTTTACTATAAAATACATTTTATTCCTGCTTATTTTCTTACACTGTGAGTCAAATGCCATAAAAGTATGTCTAATATCTTCGTCTTCATCTGATTTCATCAACTTTTCTGACATTGCATCCAGGAATTTAGCCAATTTCATGCCTAAAAGGAAACAAAAGCAACAAGTGGAATTAATTAACTTCAGTTCAATTAGAATGGATTGACATTTTATACATGCTACAAACGTGAGAAAAATATGAAAACCAGAATGTAAGGGCCTCCAGTCCCCTTTAGTTAAGAAAACATAAGAGCTACATCAAATAGCAAGATATGATTTTATTGTTTTACAGGATGTTTAGTCATGAAATGACTGTTTGATAAATATTACACCATTGCTACATCAGAGTGAAATGTGTCTCACAGCCTATAATTATATGACAAACAATACAACTAAGTATGAAAGTTTTAAGACCTGTATACAGTTGCTTACTTCCATGTCCTCTGGTCTCTAGTGGATAGTTGTGTCATTGCAATCAAAACACATCTCCTTATTGTCTTGCCTTGACAATGTTGTGGAATGATTCTAAGCTGTGTTGTTTCTTAGGCATTGATGTCACCAATGTGATAATTAGAAAGGCAGTTTTAGGGGAACCACTTATAGAAGGTCAATGATATTTGGTATACTGTTGTATTAGCATTGGCACATCTTATTTCCATAGAGATTATTTGACACTGCCCCTTCAGTCATGGTCTATTCACTTTGAAACTTTGAAACTTTTGCAAAGTTTACATGATAAGGTCAGTTTAAGATGAGCTACTAATGGTCAATCAATGATATATGGTATGTTGTTGTATTAGCATTTGCAGGTCTCATTTCCATGAAGATTGTATGTCCTGTCCCCTCAGTCATGGTTAATTTATTTTGAAATATTTATATAGTTTACATGTTAAAGCTTATGTTTAGGTCAGTTTAATTGGACCACTGATGATAAAGCAATGGTATTTTGTATGCAGTTCTATTAGCACTGGCATTTCTTGTTTCCATGCCATTGAGATTATTTGGTCCTGCACGTTCAGTCATGGTTCATTGACTATTTTGCATTGTTTACATGTTAATGTATAGCCATTTCAATTTCAACATTTGCAATATACTATCTAAATTACTAATAGGTGAAACACTTACATCTTGAACCATAAATGTCTTCTCCAAACTTAAGAATAACCTGATCTGTTTCTAACTGAAATTCAATGAAATTAGATTTATATATCATATATCATAAAAATAAACAACAAGTATTAAAGACACATTCTAAATCAATTTTTAAGTACCCAGTAAGTTTTCTATGGTAAGAACGATAATTGAAGATTTAATTTTTAAAAATCTTCATAAATATATGTAACATAAACCAAGCAGCCTGAATAGCTCACCCTGACCTTCAATCAATGTATTCATGTCAAGCTTAGTTTGAGCTGAATAAGGATTTTACACGACAATCAAATAGAAAGTTATTAATTAAATATCAAGATTTACCACTAGAATCAATGAAAACATCTATGTATTATAACTGCCATCAAGATCACAAGAATGTACATGTTGTCATGCTAAGCATACCCTCACTAGTCATGGTAAGAATTGTATACATGAGAGCACTAACAATGCAATTTTCCATATTATTAATATTTCTAAGGGCCTGCTGGTAATTCAAAGTATCAGAAAACATGAAATAGGCGTCTTATAAAAGTGAAACACACTCAAATGTTACAGCTCATCACTGTCGAATCGCTGACAAAATATAAAGTGATTCTATTAGGTAGTAATGGAGAAATGTTTTATAAAAATTTTGAGGTTCATTCATCACTTAGAAAAAATCAAAGAATCAGCAGTCAAGAAGTTGATGTCTGACAGATCTGTTATAACTCATTACTGTCATGCTGCTGGCTAAATATGAAGTCATTCTATCAGAGCTACCCGAGGCAAATGTGATGAAAATATTTGTTTTATTAACAGACAGACAAGATGAATGTAATATAGCCCCCACTCCTAGAATGGGGTATAAAATGATAATCTGTAGTGACTCTGTACACAGGAAAAATTTTACGTGAAATTCACCTCAAACAAGGTTAGATATACCTGAAACTCAGAACTTTACAACAAACAACGATTTTAATTAAAAATTTGAAAGTTTAGATGTTATTTGATTTACTTTATTTTGAAAATTCATTTAAACTGAAAATGTAAGTTAAAATGACCTGGATGATATTCTACACTCCTGAAAAAGCCATTCACAAGTATGATGACAAAAAAGATGCCAAAGTGACACTTGGCCCCAGATTACATATTTTTTTTAAAGTTTACACATGACAGATATATTTCAGAAATCATTGGCTGATCAGTTAATAATAATTTAAGGGACCAAAAATACACTGTAGGCTTCAAGCACTTTGTCCTTTCATTTCTTTCCAAAGTTAAGTTCTGAATCTTTGATCACAAGGTGAAATAAAATGCTTCGCTGGGCGCAGCTTGATACGACCGCAGAGGTCGAACCCTGAACAGTTGGGGCAAGTATGGACACAACATTCAAGCTTGATACAGCTCTGAATTTGGATTGTGATTAAATATTTGACACAGCATAGGTTTCTGACACAGAAAGAATGTGGTCTAAGAACTTCAATTTTTTTAATTTACCTATTATGGTCCAATGTCCAAAATCAAAATACATGGTTAGATTCAGCATATCAAAGAACCCCATATATTCAATTTTTGTTGAAATCAAACAAAGTTTCATTTTGGACCCCAACTTGGACCAACTTGAAAACTGGTCCCATAATCAAAAATCTAAACACATGTTTAGATTCAGCATATCAAAGAACCCCAAAAATTCAATTTTTGTTAAAATCAAACTAAGTTTAATTTTGGACCCTTTGGACCTTAATGTAGACCAATTTAAAAAACAGGACCCAAAATTAAAAATCTAAATACACGGTTAGATTTGGCATATCAAAGAACCCCAATAATTCAATTTTTGATGAAATCAAACAAAGTTTAATTTTGGACCCTTTTGACCTCAATATGAACCAATTTGATAGCGGGCCCACAAATAAAAAATCTAAATACATGGTAAGATTCAGCATATCAAAGAACCCCATATATTCAATTTTTGTTGAAATCAAACAAAGTTTAATTTTGGACCCCAATTTGGACCAACTTGAAAACTGGGCCAAAAATCTAAAATCTAAATACATGTTTAGATTCAGCATATCAAAGAACCCCATATATTCAATTTTTGTTGAAATCAAACAAAGTTTAATTTTGGACCCCAACTTGGACCAACTTGAAAACTGGGCCCATAATCAAAAATCTAAACACATGTTTAGATTCAGCATATCAAAGAACCCTAAGAATTCAATTTTTGTTTAAATCAAACTAAGTTTAATTTTGGACCCTTTGGACCTTAATGTAGACAAATTTAAAAAACGGGACCCAAAATTAAAAATCTAATTACACGGTTAGATTCGGCATATCAAAGAATCCCAATAATTCAATTTTTGATGAAATCAAACAAAGTTTAATTTTGGACCCTTTGGACCTCAATGTGGACCAATTTAAAAACAGGGCCCAAAATCCAAAAACTTAATACACGGTTAGATTCAGCATATTAAAGAACCCCAAGAACTCAAGAATAAAACCCCATTGAAATTGATCAAGAAATAAGCAATTTATACGAAGTATCTTCTTTTGCACAATACTGTGCAATTGAATATTTCTTGCTATTGCGCAATACTGTACAATTGACAATTTCTTGCTATTGCGCAATATTGTGCTATTGGATATTTCTTGCTATTGCACAATACTGTTAAATTGAAGATTTCTTGCTATTGCGCAATACTGTGCAATTGAAGATTTCTTGCTATTGTGCAATACTGTGCAATTGAAAATTTCTTGCTATTGCACAATACTTATTATATAATAATTTACACATCCTGTTTGGTGTGTATCTCCTACCATATCATTATTATTTGCTTTTAAATATAAATCAGAAATAACCAACTTAAAATGGAAAATTTTAAAAGAAAAAAAAAAGGAAAAAAAGAAAAAAAAAAAGAAAAAAAATCCCCCCCCCAAATTTTTTGAACCCCCTTATGATTCATCACCCCCAAACTCAATCCCAGCCTTCCCTTTGTGGTATGGTACCTTGCAGTACAATTTCAGAGAGATCCATACACTTGAACACAAGTTATTGTCTGGAAACTAGAAAAATGCTTATTTTTGGCCCCTTTTTGGCCCCCAATTCCTAAACGTTTCGGGCAATTACCCCCAAACTCAATTCCAGCTTTCCCTTTGTGATATGGAACTTTGTAGTACAATTTCAGAAATATCCAAACACTTACACACAAGTTATTGTCATGAAACTAGAAAAATGCTTGTTTTTTGCCCCTTTTTTGGCCCCTAATTCCTAAAATTTTGAGGCAATTACCCCCAAAATCAATTACAGCCTTCCCTTTGTGATATGGAACCTTGTGGTACAATGTCAGAGAGATCCATACACTTACACACAAGTTATTGTCTGAAAGTTACAAAAATGCTTATTTTTGGCCCCTTTTTGGCCCCTAATTCCTTAACTGTTGGTACCATAACCCCCAAAATCAATCCCAACCTTCCTTTTGTGGTATTGAACCTTATGGTGAAATTTCATGGAGATCCATTCAATTAAACTAAAGTTAGAGTGCGAAAACCAATGTGTCTTCGGACGACGCAGGACGACGACGACGACGACGCCAACGTCATACCAATATACGACCAAAAAATTTTTAATTTTTGCGGTCGTATAAAAAGCAATATAAAAGAAGATGGAAGGGAAAAATAGATTAGATGTATGAGTAGGTTGACATTTAACCTTTGATGGTTTATATCCAAATATTTCAGCAACTGCCATTTTGACATCCTCTCTAGTAAGAAATCCCTTGTTTCCATCATCAGCTTCATGAAAAACCTACAAAAATAACCAAGAACATTCAAAATTTTTAACAATGCACATTACATTTAATAAGCATTATGAGAGTATTGCATGGCAATACATAGTCCCTTACCGGGTAAAAATTCATTATACTGGAACAAAATGCTAACTTGTTCTATAACTTGTCATGGTGTAAACAAAAAGTAAATATCATGTCAATATCTTCAAGCATGACTAAAAACAGTGTGGAGAACAAGGTCCATAACTCTGCACAAAATTATTAGACTGAAACCCAAATTTGAACTTGATCTGTAACTTGTCATGATAAAAGTATACAGGGGCGGATCCAGGATTTTGGAAAGGGGGGGCGTAGTATGTAAAATTCAGCGAGCGGAGCGAGGCGAAATTTTTTTGGGACCTTTTTTGGGCTAAAAAACATAAAATAAGTGTAAAATGCATATTTTTAGTGACGGTTCCTAACGTGGGGTATGTATATTTTATAGTTAAAGTGTAAGCTTGGGTTGGACATTTTTGATGTCGCATTCTCCCCATTAATTGTCTATTATAAAATGATTGAATGGATCTAAAGCTATGTACTAATATATTTGATGTGGGATTTGTCAGTAAAAAATGGACATGGAAAATTCTCGTTTGTTGTATGGTTAGTTAGCAGGCGCGTAGCTACGTTTACGTCAAAACGCCTGGGCGTACACATAAATTTTAGAGAAAAAAATATTCTAATCTAAATAAATTAAAAGAACTGGTTAAAAGCCTTTTAATTCTTTCCTCAATGACTTGTAATAGAAGAAAAAAGTGACGAAATTTACTTTTTAATCAAATGGTATTATATTATATATTTGTTCATTTTCTGTCAAAGTGTGAATGTTGAGCCTGTGACATTTATGTCGCGAAAGCGAAACAAACCGATCCTAGATTCCGCGTCGGCGTCGTCAACATTTAGGTTCAGTCTGTGGTTAAAGTTTTTTTAAGCATTAGTAACTTTGTCAAACCTTCATGGAATTTAATGAAATTTGGACAGAGGCTTTTTTATGACCAAAAGACAGTATCCAGAGCATAATAAACATACATTTTTCTATTTTTTGCCGTATTTTACTAATAAAAGGACTTTGTTGTTTGCAGTTAATAAGTAGATACAGTAAGATAGTCTTAGGTTAAAGTGTGTTAAACATCAATTACTTTGTCAAACCTTCATCGAATTTTATGACAATTTGGCAGAAGCTATTTTATGATTAAGAGATTATGTCTGAAGCAAAATTTTGAAAGTAAAATAAAATTTTGGAAAAATTTACTGACAAGACGGACTTATTTTTATTTTATTTTTTTTGCAATTAACAGACTGGATTAAATTTTTGTGACATGTTAAATTTGTAAACCTTCATAGATTGTTATGAAACTTGGATATAAGCTAATTGTTCAATATCATGAAAAAGCATCGGAAAAAAGTTTGATTTTTTTTTAAATCACGCTTTTACACTGACAGCAGCTATCCCAGGCGAGACACAGGGTTCCACTAAACCGGCCTTACACATTTTTATGTTACACCTGACCATCTATAAACATTCATCATTTCCTGTGTCCATAAACAAAATTTGTGCATAAAATGGGAGAAAATAAGATGAACATATTATTGAATAAATAATAGAACAACATTGAAATGGAAACTCTTTGCTTTTGTTTTTATTTTTGTCGATTGCTTGTTTAATTCAACATCTCCTTTTAAACATATTATAAAGTGACTGCTTTGGACATTTTTCTCTGAAATCTATGACCATTAGATTCAAAATAACTGATAAATTAAACATGAAAATAAACAAATTAGACTCTAAAGTATGTTACTATTGATGAGTTTTATGACAGAAATGGCATTTCTTTTCTCGATAACGCGTGAGGTTCCTGGGGCTTCACCCCAACGAACCTCTTACCAGGAAGTCCTTTGACCTCAACCCGCTGGTGGCCCTCATGTCCCTCGCCAAGGATCGGGCGTACACTTAAAAATGGCCTAGCTACGCCACTGGTTAGCATAACCTCACAGATAACTTGTTGTAAACATGATATACGGCTATTCAATGAAGTTTATAATACAACCGACACGAACAAAGACAAACAAGCAATTTTTATCCAAATTTTTGGTTGAAATGTTTCACTCAACAAGGGAAGTGAGGGGTTCCAAATCAACCAAAGGCTACGAATGAGTCTGAAAATCAAATATCAACGAAGGTGTGAATGACGGTCGACAAATGGAGACATAAAGGCCACACCCAGCAGGCAGGTTGCAGTTGGGCCTTGAAAAAAGTATTCAGTATATCAGTTCAGCGAAACAGACAGTAACATGTGTTACTGTAATTTGAATTTCAAAATGACTGAGTGATGTTTCAAACGTACTGATCAACTCCACTGTAGCGAAAGACATGACTGACATAATCAATAATATATTACAGTAAATACGAGCGAAAAATATCTTTATAAGTAAAGAATTGTCGCATAAAAATTAAATACACGACCGGGAAATGGCAAAGTTCACGAAGTCTAGTCTGATTCATCATTTTACAAAAAAAAAAAAAAGTTCAAGCAAAGGGGGGGGGGGGGGGGGGCGTACCCCTCCACGCCCCCCTCTGGATCCGCCACTGCTATATACCAATTATCAATTAATATCTTATAAGCATGATGAAAAAAACATTAGATATGATTAATAGTTCTCTAAAATTAGATATGATGTAATACAGTGTATATCTATTTTCAAATTATAATCAAATACAATTAATAGTTCCAAATATTTGTTCTTTCATTTGTCACAAACTAATATAGATTTGTAACTTATCTATATAATGTCAACAACTTTTATCTACACAATGTAATGTATTGAAATATACACATTAATAAAAAATAGATTATTATCTAATTAAAGGATTTCTCTTCATTATTTTTTTTTTTATATATAGCATTCAGAAAATTAGTTTATACTAAATAACAAACAAACTTGCCAAAAAATTCTTCAAATAATTTAACAAAGAATGTCTTTTAAAAAATGAGTTATCTCCCTTTGAACAGAAATATGGCTTAACATAGTACTCTAACATTAGATATGGTTCATAACTCTGGACTAAATCATCAGACCGGAACAAAATTCAAACTTGATCTATAACTTGTCATGATAAAACTATATACCAAATATCAAATCAATATCTTCAAGAACGAAGAAAAAAAGTGTGGAAAGCTGATTTACCGGACTGACGGATGGACAGACGGACAGATAGACAGATAGACAGACGGACAGAGTGCAAACCTAAAGTCCCCTTCGACTTCATCCATAGGGGACTAAAAATGTAAAGAAAAGTCACTTTCCTCCGAAGGAAGCAGGAAGAACTAAAAGAAACAATGAGATACAATGATAATGAATTTTTTTCATGCTTTATCATATATTGTGGAATTTGAAAAATAAAATTATATCACATGACAGTTTTAGTTGTTTGCCTAGTCTTTCCTATTTTATTTCAGAATATTTATTCGAAAAAAAATTCAGCCATTCTAAAAAGGTGTGGGTAGTCTTTAATCACAAAATTGTGCTATTCAAATTCATATTAAAAGGAGGGAGGGGGTAATGGTATCTCCTTTATTCTGTTTATTAAACAATACAGAATAGGGGTGTTGTTTCAATTTAGTTAAGAAGGTAATTTGCTTGCCCGAAAGAGTAGGCAGACAACTAAAATATGTCATGTATATTTTTCCACTCCCAATTTCGAAACAACCACTATCTGTTAAATCTAGTATTCCTCATCTTTGCATTCAGAAAACATGAACTTTTTTAATTATTACTTTCCTGCACATACATGACATACCTGGTTGCAGAGTGTTTAGTTTGTTAAAAAACATTTTTTTATCTGAGATTTTTTTCAAAGTAGTGCATAATAAAAAAAAAAAAAAATTATAATTTGTATAAGATAGCAAGGAGTGATAAATATACATATATGTGTTTTTGTTATAAGTGTGTTACGATAATTCTCCACTCTCAACAGTTAAATTTTAAATATTTCAAAAGTTCAGCAAGCCTCACACTTTAAATATTGAAATTTAACTGTCTTCAGCATGTTCAGTGGAGAATTATCGTAACACACTTGTTGCAGTGGTGGAATCTATATTTCTTCAATGGGTCTCCAATGAAATGTCATTAGGGTATGACGGCATACCGAATGACTTGATAGTGGGCCATTTGACGTCAATAGCCAGCGGCAATATTTTCTGACACCCGAAAAGCAGCCATATAAAATAATCGGCAACAAGAGTATTTTAAGCAACTATTGGGGAACCATAAGGCCTCAAATTATAAGCAAAACCCGTACCGAATACAGCTTTAAAAGGCCCTTTTATGACATTATAAACCTACATGCTTGAAAACAATGTATAGTATTAGGTCCTTTATATTTTTGCTCTGTGTTTTGCCTGTATTTAAGCTAAAAAAAAATTTAGACTCTATGTATTGTTCAGAACAGTGGTGTTTGATTTGGTTAATTTTAATAAAGTTGCAAAAAAAAATATGTTCTTCAATTAATTTTTCAGAACAGTGGTGTCTGTTTTGGCAAAATTTAAAGTTATTTTTCAATTTCTTGGTTTTGAAGAAACAAATCTTGGTCATTTAACTACACATTAGTAATATTACTGAAGACAAAAGTTGTTTATCTTTCTTCGTCAGCGATCTTGGGAAATTCTGATACCCATATTCCTTCAGATTAAAATTAAGACTACAGGACATATTTTTGTAAATATTGTAAAAGAGCTGTCATGTTCAGTCGTGCCAAACAGAGTGCACCTGGGGTTGTTTACCCGGAAGTAGAACAATTATTGGCGAGGAATTGTCACGTGATGCGACAAAATTAACAGCCACTCAAATGGGAATAATTTTCAAGATGGCTACCTAATGTAACCCGGAGTGTTTATTCATGAAAAAATCAGGGAAAGGCGTGTTATTTCTGTGAATATGTCTAGTCAAAACACACGAACGACTAGATATAGTACTAGGAATACAAAAAATCGTTCCAACGTAAAACAGTCATCAACAAGAAGACATAACGAAGGTGAGTTTGCGAGGGGTCATTGTCTGATTTATAAAAATGTATTTTTAGTCGTTATTTGCAGTCAGTAAGTCTGCATAATAAATTAACTTTATTTCTTTTATTATTATAGTTCGAATTAAATGTGAAATTATGTGAAGTGCTTGCATAAGAATATCGGCACAAATAATGCTTTGTACCACTGTAACAATTGTGTTTTTTGCCATGAGTTGTGATTATGTTGATTATCTTTTTTCATAAAACTTTTGTTCATTGTATAGTTTGATAACTTATTTATGCTCATGCTCAATATTAACAGATGGCACTTGATAGACATTTGCAGCTGAATCCTTATTGTTTACATATGATTAAAGGGTGATATGGTTTTAATGTGGGGGTAAACATGTACACCAATTTGACAGCAAACCAAGAACACAAGTAAATTAGATGTCAAAATATAGTATATAGCATATGGAATTGGAAAAAATCAACAGGTGTCGAAACACCATTTCACTTTGTAAATAAAGAGCATGATTTTACTTTCAAAAGTTTCAACCCTACCAGCAAGGGTTGTAACTTATAACCTGGGACACATGGCACAGTAAGAAATGTCCTACCAACTTACATGTAATAATAGGCTTCCCAGAATGTGCTGGACTATGGGACAAGTCCAAGAAATATGTTGCAAATATCATGAATATTGAATACTTTCCAGACGAAGTGTCCAGTGAAGAAAAATGTTTGTCCCATACTTCATTGTACTTTGCAGCCAAACTCAAATAAAACCATGGTAACTTATTGTTTTTCTCATCACAATCATTGTCATTGAACCTTTTATATTACATCCTCTAACCTTTCCTTTTAAAATTCAGGATTTATTATGTAAAAATAGCTGAATTCTTTGAAAACATTATAAATTTTTTATTACTTTTATCGAGCTTGTGCTCCATACAAAATACAGAGTTTAGATCAGAACCAGTTTCAGTAAGGCCATAAAAAAGAATAGGTTGGTTTGCCCTAACCCGACCGACCCATAAAAAAGCACCAGAGTCAAAATCTTTTTTTATTCAAAATTCGCGATGTTTTTTTTTTGCGGAGTTTTGTCGTATCCGTATCCGTCTTGAGTTTGTTGCATAGAATAACCTGATCCGATCTGACCGCGCTTTATCACAGGACAATTTGTGTTATGTATTAAAGCCTCCAATTGATACGGATGAAAAACAACATGTGTTACTGTCTAGTACAAAGGGTCTCTAAAAACACCGCAAAGGACCTCCTTTGTGCACATAGGAGCACAAAGGAGTTTGATATGAGCACAAAGGACCTGAAATTCATTTCAAAACATAAAAATATTATAATTCATGAAGAAAAATGTAAAAAAAAAAATCAATTTCAATAAAAATTGCGATTTTAATAATGTACGATTTTTAGTTATCACCGGTATCGGTTTGGAACCGACTTTATATCCGGGTAAAGTGATAGTTCGTGTATGTGAATTTTTAAATAGTTTAAATATATTAACATAAATGATAAAAATGTCAATTATTATTCTTGATATTTTATTGTTGTAATTTTTCAAGGGTAAAGCATTACCAAAACTTCGAAAATTATATAGGATAGCAATGTGTTGTTGTTGTTTTTTGTTGTCTCATATATCATCACTTTGTTTTCTTACGTATGATAATATTTTTAAGTGAAGTATAAGAATACTTGCATTGTAACAAAAAAGTCAAAACTTTATATTTCCAATTATGATTTATTAAGATAAAACAAACATGATAAATAAATACATATGATTTAACAATAACATTTAAAATTTTGGTTTTGTCCTCACTGCAGCTGTCCTTGGCCGGTGACGTTGACCAGGCTTCTTGGCGAGACGTTTAACCTTCGGTATCGCAAAACCATTTGCCGCTCTTAACATATTGTCACTAAACTTTTTGTCACTGGCAAGCTTTCTGTAAAGCACTTCTTTTTCAATTTGGGAAAGACTGTGCCATTTGGAATGTTGTATTCTGTGTTTCTTGAAATTTCCAAAAAGTTCATAATTGCCGTTGCCTATTATACTGCGTCTTAAATCTGTGTGGTGAAGTTGTATCACATTGTAAACTTTATCTAAAAGTTCTGGTAATTGGTGAGGTTTCCAGTTCAGTGCTACCTTAAACCGGTGGTTCATGGACTCACAGTTATTGTTTGTCCAGAGTCTGTTAGAGTCATATTTGCGATAGGGTTGAATAATATAATTGAACAAGCGGTTTTTAAGTCTTATCTCATAATGATTGGCAAAACACGGAAAGCTGTTACAAAGTTCATTGGACTTGGTGTCGAAATCTATGGTGTCATCAGCTGTTGCTATGCCATTGTCGTAAAAAATGTCGGACATAATCTGCGATCTTTGATTAGATGTTAGAGGCAGCTTGTTTTTTATGTAATCTGTTACATTGTCTTTTATGTGCTTTGTGCAGAGTAATCTGTCCGGCTTTGAAAAAACGCTGTCTAATGCAACTGTCAAACCACCTTCATCGTCGCTACCAAGTTTGACGTCGAAACATTGCACTTCCGTTAGTATCCGAGCTTTGAAGTGTGAAAAGAAAGTATACCGTATAAAGAATCATCTTAATTATTTTAACAAATAGTTTCTGAAATTTACTTTCTGCTATGTATGTGTTCATACATAACTGGTTATATATATAAATAAAAAAATCATATATCATTTCGAAAAAATTTTAACATTCGCAATATCAAAATTTAGACTTTTTGCAATAGCAAGTAGATATTTTGCATATGGTTAACTATTAAAATAATTATACGAAAAGAAACAAATACCGTATAAAGAATCATCTACGCTAAGTAGCTTGTTAATAAGATTTATCATATATTGAGATAATTGATAAAAAAAAATAAGAAGGAGTTCAGTTTCCTTAAAGCAATGTTGATGAAAATAAAATATTTAATTTAAAATTTATAAATTGCTTTGAAATTAAACATAATTTTAAACAAACTTGAAAAAAAGTATACCTGTTGAAGTCTAGATAGACTTGACACGTAGTCGTTTTGAGAGTGATTCATGTTGAATTTGTATAGCTTTGAATATTTCAGTGAAGAACTCTCTTATTTTATATTATTTTATTTTTTATAAAATTTTGAGTAAAATGGTTTATATTTCTCATCTTTTTAACTTCAATAGAAGACGTCTTTGATCGACGCTTGTAAGATCTATATTTAGAAAACTTGTATATTTTGCATATGTAATAAAATAAAATAGATAAATAATTATTATAGTTTCACATATTTGATCAGACAATATATATATACAACAATTCATAATAAAAACAGAGATCAAATATCCAGCCTTTGAATAGACTTATGAGACACTTTAAAACATATCAGACAACTGTACATTTATAAAAAAAAAATATATATCCTTATAAAATTCAAAAAATAATTATTGGTTTATCACATTAAGTAAACTGCTTTTAAAATATTTACTAGTAAAAGTTTCAATTAATATTAGATAGATGATATTGATAAAAGGATTACAAATTAAAAACATTAGCAATGGTTAAAAGGAAATAAAATTTTGCCAAAAGACGGATAAACTATTTTGAAAAACAAATAAAAAAACAATATATTTCTAGGGTAACAAAAATAATTTAAATGTGATTAATATTAAATACATGGATCTAGATAAAAGATGTGTACTAAAAAAGTAACAATAGTAACCATAATAAAGAGACTTTAAAAATATAACTATGAAAAAATATATGTTAACATTCAAATAAATTTCTTTCTTCTCTGATAAAAATTGAAAAGTGCGTATGATAATGAGGATTGCATGTCTTTACATTTCATAAGACTGATAAATTGACTGTCAATATCTAGAGTATCAAAGTTTTCTATAAAGTTTTTGGCTCGAGAAAATAAATTATATCTTAAGTCATCATACATAGTGCAGTTCATTAGAAAATGTTTTTCGTTTTCTATGACGTCATTCGGACAGAATTTACAACTTCTTTCATTAACTGGTATTTGCGGTCGTGCGTATCGGCCTGTCTCGATGGCCAAAGGGGGTGATCCACTTCGGAACAGGGCAACAACTCGTCGGACCGATCTCGGCAACTGAATTTTCAAATATTTTTCTGTTTCTACTTTTTCTTTGTATAGTCTATATGTACGTAGTTTATTGCCGTTTGGATTATTTTTGTCATTAAACAGTTCGCTAACAAATTCGACATTGTCTACAATATCTACGCGCTCACAAATTGTTCTCATCGCAGTTTTTTGTCGTAATGTTATTATCGTTGACTATGTCCGTAGCCGTTAATCTTTTGTATCATTTTGCTAACTTGTTAGTACCATCCCTTACGCCTATTTGCAATCCATGCTGATATCTTACGGGTAATACGGACATCATCAGATCTAGTAATTCGACACATCAGACGAATACAAGCAATACGTTGTTTGGTAAAACACGAGGACCACCCAATGTCCCCTCTGACGGCGGTATTTGATGTATATTTACCGGCTGACAGGAATAACTTAATTGCTTTATTCTGAATCGAATTAATCATTGAAAATGTTTTAGTTCCCCAAATGCCTGCTCCGTAGAATAAAGCGGGTTCTACCATAGTGGAATATAACTTTGTGTACACACTGTGTGACATTCCACCCGTACTAATAAACTTTCCATAAAGCGCGCCTAGTGCCCTGCTTGCTGACTTCGAAAGTTCCTTAACTGCTTTGTCCATAGTTAAATGCTCGTCGAACCATATACCCAAGTATTTGTATGAAGAAGTGTACTCAATATCCAAGTCGGAACATTTAAATGGGAAGTCCGATCGACTGACAGGTTTATTCCTGAAATGCATAACATTACTTTTGGTTGGATTTATATCAATTTTCCATTCACGGCACCACTCCGAAACAGTATCTAACATCTTCTGGAGACTTTCCTCGTCCGGAGCAATCAATGCAATGTCATCTGCATATAAAAGTATACTCAGAATTGTATCATCGATGCGAAC